ATTCAATGTAATCATCTCATTGTTTCGAGCAGCACAATATGCGCATCAGAAATGCGCCGGCGCACGCGTGTTGCGCGATTGTTGAATTCGTTGGCGTCGATAAGTTCTGCGATAGTCGCGATTATCAATATTCTAAATTCTCCATTCGTGACCTCGCGGATTATCGATATTCCCAATTCGTCATTCGCGACTGCGCGATTATCCGCATTCGAGATTCTTTATTCCCGAGCGGCGATGTTATTTGAATCAGAGTCATCGCAAAATTCGATATACATGTTTGTCTACGCGCTAAATTAAAATTCTCATAAAACGACAAGCACGTTCTTTCGGCGAAGCGCCACCGTCCGCGAAACGGCACATTTTCCTTTTCCGTTTCTCCCTCAATCTTCGATCCTGAGACTTTTATTCGCGATTCGCGACCCTTCGGTCGGTGTATCTCGCCGCAGCTCTAAGATTCACCGCGCGTCTCGCACTTGTCATGTTCAATCGCCCGAGTACGTCAGAGCCGTCGCGTTCGCGACGTGCACTGCGATGTAACGCGCAGCGGAGCGAAGCGCACGAGGAGCGACGTGCGGCCGCTGGACGACTGGATGCTGAGGACCGGCCTTGGACCTGAACCTGAAACGTCGTTGGACGTCGCGGGACACGAAGGCGGGCCGGTGAGTGTACAATCTACGCGCTCAAAATGCTCCTTGTGATACGTGTAGCCGCACGTGTAGACGCGAGTCGCATTGATTCGACCGAGAAAACAAAATAGTCGGGCGCGCTTTTGTCGCCCAGCGTGCGCAAATTCGACGCGAGATCGATATGGCTGGTATAATAAAGCTGCAATAATAGCAACCATTTCAACAACAACCGTTGCAATAATAATGAACCGCGAAGCAGACTGCTCCAAGCGAAATCCACCGGGCATCACTAACAGGACATCTTCTCGAGCCGGTGCTCGAGAATTCTCAGGGTTTTCCCTTCTTTCTTCGCGAAAGGCCTGGACGATGTCACGTTTCCTCTTCAACGCGCGCCTGAGTAAGAGAAACCGCGACGACCCGCATATAACCGCGGATACATCGAAAGCTAACGCCCGCGGAATACAACCTCGCCCCCTCCCCCCCCCCTCCCCAACGCATCTGGTACTGATAAAAATTGTTTGTTCGGACAAACGTTTTCCGGAAGCGTTTTCCGATACCCAGGGCGATCTCGGGATCAACAAGTTTGCCGGTTACCACCGCGTCGGCGCATTAATCTCGCGGTGCTCGATTTTTCGAGAGTTTTCGAAATCGTCGAGTCCCCGCCGCCTCTCACCCGCGGTGTTCCCGGCTCGCCACTCGAGAACAGCCGCGTATATCGGAAAACGCGCACAACATCCGCGGGGCTGGGCCGATGGAATTACAATTCCATTATATTCCATCGCGTTTCCTCCACCCGGCGACTCCCAGCCGGTTCCTCTCGCGACCGCGCTCGCGATTCCGAGCGGAAAATTCGCGTTTCTCCCCTTCCCGCCGCGCCGCGGCCGATCGACCAGCGCGCTAGTATACAGCCGGAGAATCGATTTTCATCGAGTTCACCGGGCCGCGGAAATTTTCGACGGCGCCGAGCCGATCGATACGAAACACGGTTGACGATGAGAGGCCGCCGCTCTCTTTCTCACACGCTCTCGCCGAAAGTTTCCGAAGCCGGCGGGCGATCGAACGCGCGCGACCTACTTGCCGAATGCCCACGGCTGGGCCTACCGCGCTCCGATTAGCAGCCAGCGAGATATCCGATACGGCAATTAAGTCACTTCCGAGCGCGGCTTAACGAAGGGGTTTGCAGCCTTCGGTCGGCTATCGCGACGTCTCTCGCGACGCCGGCGATTCACCGCACCGAGATGGAAGTGACAGAAGATACGACTCGCCGCGACCGAAATAGGAAAGCGCGACGGATGTCACGTCCGTTGTCGCGTCGTTGCGTCACTCGTTCGCTCACGGACGCCGGGCTTATTGACGATTATGCGCGAAACGTGCACTTTCCAAGTTCAAGTTCTCCTTCGGCGCGCGCGGGCTAACGAGAAAATCGACGTCGTTGTCGGCGGCGAGGTCGATCGTTTGTAGCGGACGAAATCGTGCCGCAATCGCGAGACACGTGCGCGCGCGCAAATTATTCCGCTTGTTTCGAGCACCGCGGTTTCCTTCGAGCCGCGATAACAGGTCCCTCCCTCTTCCCTCCTCCTTCCCCTGACATCTTCGCCCGTGCCAAACCGCGAAAACGACAGTCGCGCCCACCGTGACGCTCGCTCTTATTGGTAACGCCCGCATAAAAGAATCCTCCGTTTACCGTTTGCGATTACAGGAAATTAATATCTCGGGGGAAATAGAATAAGATGACACGATAACGTTCGCATCATCGCGTGGCGATGCCGACTGCGGGTGAGACTGGCGTGGAAATACGCGGGAAATAAAGCAAAGGCAGCTAGAACATTTTTGCAATCTTGGGCCGTACATTTTTGCAGTCTTCGGCCGGGGCTTGGCTGAAATGCTGGTTTGATATTTCTTTGAATATATCACGCGACGGTCTTTGACCGTTTGCTTGAACGTTTTGTAGTGCTTTTTGCACTACTCACTATTTCCTTCCAACAATTCCTACTACGACATAGTCCGGCTTAATGAGAAAGCATCGTAAAAGATACATATAATTTCAACGTGAATTTTACCATGCAATTTTACATATTTAATTTTCTTACAATGCTTTCTCCGCGCAGCAATTTATGTATATCGAAACACGTACCTAATTATTATTATATATTATTATATATTATATACATATACTAAGACGTTCTAATTATTTTTTAGAAATTGGTAAGCTTATCTACCGCGCATATAAAGAGCAGATTAATCGAATGAAATTTACTTAATTTATATGTATATTCCGTGCTGAAAGCATACAAACACCTGAATTGAAAGATCAAACTTGAAACCGCGATACATCCCGGCATTCTTTCCTAAACGCGCGAAACTTAATTCGACGAGATATCACGGCTGGCGGCGCGTCTGGTGGAACGTTCTAATTATTTTTTAGAGATTGGTATTTTTATTTGCTGCATTTAAACAGCAGATTAATCTAATTAAATTCACTGTATATATATATATATATATATTCCATGCTGAAAGCATACAAACATCTGAATTGAAAGATCAAACTTTAAGAACCGCGATACACGTCCCGGCACTCTTATACCTAAACGCGCGAAAATTAATTCGACGAGATATCACGGCTAGCGGCATGGAACCGCGCGAGGAACCGTGACGAGAACAGCTCGTGATAAATAAACGCAGATAAACGATCATTCGCCGTTTAATTAATTGCACCTATTAATTAAGCCAACTGCGTCGTCCTTTCGCTCGGGCAATCGCAGCCCGAGCAATGCGCTTTCTATCGGCGCGGGAGAAACTCCTCGAAAAGCGCCGCGGGGAAGTGTTATCGCTGTCGATCGCCGCGTATGAGGTCGAAATCTGCAATTCCATGTGTACCGAGCATAACGAAATTCTTTCTCGCGCCTTCGGCACGCGAGCCTCGCGCGCGTATGTTCCCCGTGAGCGAACGTGTCACGGAATACTCGCTCGTACACGAGAATTAATTCTCCACGAAGGTTCGTTACGGGCATCACCTTGAAGCGTCGATCGGCGGTGAGGCGCCGGCGTGGAAACGACGAATCACCATCGATCGGCTCCGCGAAATCCTCGCGAACGACGAGGGACGCGATCGCGACGATGACAGGCCGCGAAATTAGCGAGAGATCGCGTGCGTATCATTTCGAGATCGTGAATCACTTCCTGCGTTCGCTATCGCGCCGCCTGGCATTGGAAGATTTCAATTGTGACGTAGTGCGCGCACACGGAAATGAATGCTCGTTTTCTTTCCTCTTTCTCTCTTTTTTCTCATACTCGACTGAACATTACTTCCTTTGCGCGAAACGTCCCGCGTGATGGACGCGATTATTCGTTTCGCGGAGACATCTGTCTCTCGCTGGCAGCGAGAAAGACGCATTGCTCTTCGTATCTGCTCTCTATGATTGAGGTTAACAGTTGGCTTTACGGGTTACCGCGATAACGGGAGCGATAACCGCGCGAGGCACATTTAAATCCGGCGCGTGACAACACCTATACGACGGCGCGGTGTGTCTCGCTTGGAAATTTTGATATTCTGTCCGAATTCACAGTGAAATAATTGGCGATTGAGTGTGACGCTCGAGGTGACGCAGTCGAACTTTGCTGAGCAATTTACATCAATATATATATATATTTTTTTTTTTTCTTGGCACATTTTGGAATGTTGTATCGAGGATAGCTGCGGGAATAATCAAGTATTTACAGGACTTTCTTATATTCTTCTCAGTTTGACTCGTATAATATATAAACAGTATTTTCTCTTAACGCACAATTTGTAGATATGAAATATTTAACTTACATCATTTATCGATTGAAGAATGAAGAGCTCGAGCGGGTTTTTAGATTAATTAATCAAATTCGTCGATTGTTACACCCATCGATAGAAATATTCGTTGAGGCAAAATCAGACTGACGAGCGGCAGTAATGCTCAGTAGAAGAACCAAAATGTCGATATGTAAATATGAAGAATATGAAAACGAAATCTGCCCGCGGGACAATATTCCAAACAATAATAAGGTCGAACGATTGGAATAACGTAACGTAACCTCCGAACCATCTTTCTTCCTTACATCAGCGCCGTAACCAACAGTTAAATTCGTAAACATATAAACGATATGCAAAGAAAAGCCAACATTTTGCTTCCTCTGTCGCGCATCACTTTCGCATCACAAAGACCGACTCCCTCGGCTCTCGTTGGCTCGTTCTTGTACTAACATTTTGGTCTCGAAGCCCCGGAAAAATTGGTCATCTCGGGAGACGATGAGTCGCGGGCGAGACGAACTGCACACACCCGCGAGACATGCTCGTGTATAGCAGGGGTTGAGGGTGGGGGTGCAAGAGAAAAAGAATCTATTTACCTTGTGACGAGGCGAGACGAGCCGTGGCATCGCTTAACTACCGAATTTATTAAACGGATGACGGAACGTGAGAGACAGATAGAGCGGCCGTTTCACGAATAGCCGACCACCACCGTCCGCATCGTTCTCCTTAGCTGGTTAATATGCACTTCCGGTGTCGCGGAGGGGCAACGCAGGGGCAGCAGCGGGAACCCGCAACGCCGCGCGACACTTCCTCAAAAGTACTCCGGTCCTCCGCTCGAAAGCTCGCCGCGAAAGGATTTAGCGTCGCGCCAGTAGATAACGTTTATCGCGCTCGCGCAACCACACGCGCGGCGCGCCGGTGTGCGTGCGTGCGTGCGTGCGTGCGTGCGTGCGTGCGTGCTTGCGTGCGTGCGTGAATGCGTGCGTGTGTACTCGTGGAATACCGTGATAATGGTCCCCTTGTGTGTCCGCCGCACGCGAGCGACGCTCGAGAGACTCTCTATCTCCCCTCTAATGTTTATTCAAACATCCGCGCGCGCGGATTGAAAAGTCGCCGCGCGCCTCGACCGGCCCGAATCGATCAGTCCGAAATCGATCGCGCCCGCTGGCCGAGTCCGCGATGGGGATTTCCCCGCTTGCGAGGGAAGAACGAGAGGCGCTCCCTCCGTGCGTTTCCCGCGAGGCAAGCTTCGAGAGATTTCGCTTCGAGTCTGACCGCTGGAGCGAAGGAAGACGGCGCGGCGCCCGGCTTGGCCGAGTCCTCGGGACGGGGCACGGTTCCACGTACGATCCTCTCTCGCTGTTCGCTCCTTCGTCGCGGCACGACCGACGGCACGACACTAGTCTCGCAACGGTTGTTGCACTACTGTCAAAGCCGCGACAGTCCGCTTCGCGCGCCGCGCCGCGCCGCGCCGCGCCGCGCCGGCCCGGTCAGCTGGACGTCCCCACTCCCGCGCGGACGTCATCGCCACCCACAGCGTGTGCATCACAACAGAGCGTCGCGCCGGTTAAAGCACCCCGCTGCGCGCGACAGGGGGAATCACAATCGCCGGGAGAATTCGCGCGACACGCATCGGGTGTGCACGCGAATGGCATTCTCTCGGTGCGTTCGGGTGCGAATGTGGAGCCCGCGCGAGTGTCCGCGCGGAAAAAACAGCTTCCTTGCTGCAGCCGGGTTTGTTGTCTGGCGAAGGAGGGGGGGTGGGGGGACAGGAAAGCCGACTCGGGAAAGTCGGTTTTGGGGTGCGGAAAGAGTCCCGCTGAGAGTTTCCTTTTTCGCTCGGTTTTCGCTCCGCGGAAACGGACGCGTTTCTCATTACCGAATTTTCGTCCGCGCGGCGCATATTTGGTTACGCGAATTTTAAGATTGTTTCTCTTTTTTCTTTTTATTCTGTCACACAAGGAAAATGTGGCGAATTTATATTTAATACTGCCAACAGAGCGGTAATGCAACGCTTGCTTCGCCTCGAACTCGAGGAATAATCCGACGACTGGACGAGAGAGAAATTGAAAATGCGATTATCAGATTACGAATCAAATATCAGATTGCAGTTGGGAGATGTGAAATCGTAACAATTGTTGCCAGCCAGCGGCCACGCTCATTTGTCTTCTCTAGAAAGTTGTTAGATTCTTTAAGATTTTTTCGATTTTTGCGGTGTAACGTGAATTCAATTTCGATCTGCTAATCCGATCGCGAAGCGTTACAGAGAATGATGATGCAGATAGATTATGTGTTTTAGAGCAGATAACACCATCCACCCCAGTCATCCCCGGGGGGGGGGGGGGGAGGGAGAATCAGCCAATAACGAGCCAATAATGAGCTGGAAAATTGAATCTGAAGCCCGTGCAGTAGCTAGCTACTAGCTTTTGAGTTATGTCGGTCGGTTAAATTTCTACCTGGATGAATCCAATACAGTTTGAACAGTCTTTTTCCCCCGATGCGGTTTAAAACTCAACCGCCGGTCCGTCGAGAGCACTCAGCTTGAGGGAATCAATCATAAACGAGTTCGCCCATCGGGCCATTGGCAGCGTTTCCAACTGCATCGAGAAGAAAGCATTGAGACCGCATTGAGAGAACAAGCGTTCAGTCAGACGCTGAAGATTGCGATACTTTTATCCCGACGAGTTTCGCGACGCATCCTGCGATCTCCCAGGATTATCGGGAGAAATTCATCAAGGTATTGCGATCTTTGTCAGCGGCTGACTGCATGTGATTGTAGCTGTAGGCGCGAGGTGGTTAATTGTCGCGAGCCGGGATCAGTCATCGCCGTGCAAAACTCACGTCAGCGGTCGGCTTTCGGTATATGCGGAGAAAGAGAGAAAGAGAAAGAAAGAGAGAAAGAGAGAGAGAGAGAGAGAGAGAGAGAGAGAGAGAGAGAGAGAGAGAGAGAGAGAGGATTCACGAAGCAGCGGAGACTCGAAGAAGCTGGACTGGGCTTCGTCCAGCTGCCTCGTGAATAGCCGCACATGTTCTCGGCAGGTGTGCGCGATAACAGCGGTCGTCGTCGTCCGTTCGCGTGAGCGGCCGAGTAACGCGAAGGAGAGACCGCGAATTCGGTCAAATGTAAAATTACGCGGTCTCGCGGGAACGCGTGTGCGGGCGAGCGAACGGCGGCAAGGGCGATTTTCTCGAGGGAAACGTGTGTCCCTCCGCACGGAAAATCAGTCACACGGTGATTCCCGCATCGTGTGACTGAACGGGAATCCGACGATGAGATAGCGATATCGGTCCGTTATCCGGGTAAAATCTGTCTGCACATTCGACTGTCCGTTAAGGGTGGGCCAAAGTGAACGGCAGGCTCTGAAAGAGATCCAGTCGTATTCCTACTCTTACCCTTCGTACATACAGTTAGATTTTACGCAAATACGCGCTGCTTTGTTTTATGCCGCACGTGTAGCGGAACGAACACAGGAGCATATACGTGTAAAAATCTCTCTACAAGCTTCTCGCGGACTTTTAAGCTGCTAAAGTAAAAAATGTCCCAATAACCAGACGTTTAAACATAGGTCGTCAGAAAAAATACTATATATAATATTAAGAATAGTTTTGATATTGAAATATTTGCTTTCGTTCGAAAACTTAAGATCCTTTAAGGAGACTGGAGAGTCAGATTGCTGAAAAATCGTGCTTGTTTTTGATAATATTTTGTGTCCCCTTAAGTAGAGAAAAATTATTTAAAATAATGTATATGTCTATTATTAATGAAATATTTTTACAAGTAATGAAACGCATTAATGTACTAGAGACCGGACTGTTGAAACAGGTTATGGCCCAATAATGTTCGGATATGATTTGTCTCAGTGTCTGATCGCAATTAGAAAATTAGTATATGCTAACGCGAAATAATATAAATATAGATGCTATCTCTATAATGAATTTATTAACGATTATTGACCATTATTTTGTCAAACCGTAGGTGCATACTTATTTAATTAATTTTTATTTTAACGCAAAAGTATCAAATTGGGTATATTTTTTTCCAACTAATCGTCAAATATTGGAGTTTTTCTTTTTTACAATAATTATTACGTTCATTCACTATTGTTAAAATAAATAGTATATTTTTTTTTCAAAGTGGTCAGATACTGGGACGTGTGCGGCCATTGGGACGTTTACTTTACTTTCAGTCATGAAGGCGCAGCGATGCTCTTTGAAACTTTATTCCGCAGACCTGGAGATTTCGTTCCGCGAGATTTGCTCTCGCTATTTTCCTGGTAAAGTTCCCGGGACATCCCGAAACTCAGTTGAGATAACTGTGAAGATAATTGACCGATTAGGAACCCTTTTTACGCAGAAACTTTTCCGTTTCTACAATCGAGTTTTCCACTTGCTGCCTATTCCAGTCAGGCAACGGAAGATTCAATTACACTAACGGAATTGTTTCTCTTTTTCCCGTCTAAGGCCGTGACTCTTAACGGATTCGTAAAATCGCGCGGCGTGCAAAGTGCGCCGCATGAAAGCGCGCGTTTGACTTCAACACCCGTTGAATACGATCGCAGTCACCGGTGACCAGCGCTGTAACGTTAGTTATCAACGCTACCGCGTTTCACTGAGTCTGTAAAGTGTGATTAATTGCATTTGAACAATCGATCGGCGTGCGGCCAATCGAGAGAGCCGACATTATAAGCGACTTCAATGATGTGCGCGTCTCGAATTTATATTCATCGTATTTTTGGCGATATATTCGTCAACATCCTGACCCCATTAGAGGGATAAATTAATTCGAGCGAGAGAGAGAAGACTGATTTAATTTTAATGTCTGATGAATACGACATCTGTCAATCATATGACGGGACTTTTCTTTCCCTTGTTGCGCGATTTCCTGCTGAATGTCTCTTCCCAGCGATGCTCGTTACGTGTCGAATCTGGAAGAAAAAATCCAGCGTACCTAAATAGGCGCACATAGGCGATTAAAGTGCGAGGAAGCGCGAATGATCGTCGCGCCGAAGACATAAATCATTAAACGCGAGCCATGTGTCGTTCGTTACCGCCGCGGCGCGATATATCGAGCGAACGGTAATAAAAGAGGGAAAGAGCGAGACATAAAAAGGTGCAAGGTGATCGGCTTAACGAACCGCTGCAAAAGCGCGCACTCGCGAGAAACGGCTCTTTTTGTTCCTGCGACTGAATCACGCGTAATGAGACTGAAAACGCGCCATTATTCCGCGCAACAGTCACCTCGTTGCGTGCCGCGCGCGCGCGCGCGCGCGCGCGTCTTTGTGCGAAATCGAATCCATCGCGCGGCGCTCGTTCCCCGCTCCGATTTCTCACCGACGAATCCAACTTTGTTCGCGACGCGAAATATCGAGTCGGCGAGAGAGCGAAGCATCGACGACGACTATTCTCCGTTCATTGCGAAATTGAATCCGCCCAAGCGAACGAGCCCACGTCGAGCGCGCGTCTCGTCCTTCGCGCCGCGAACTTTGCTTTCCGATGGGCTCGCCGAGCCAGAGTAGTCCATCTCGCCGGAAGCAGAGGTCTGTTCTTCACAGCTGCACTAAGTTGCGCGCGGCCGAAGTAGACAGACGTTTGACACATGGCGGGGAGCAGAGCGGAAGAACAGAGAGGTTACGAGATAACCGAGAGGAAGGTGCGGCCGCACGGGAAGAAAAGTGCCGCTGAGTCAGCGGAGTTGGTAAACAGCGCTCCGTAATTGGAGAAAATTTTTTTCTGATTTAATCAGCGATATTATCGAGCGATCGAGGTGACAGCTTTTAGAGGAAACGCGTTGTGCAAAGGCGATTTGTTTCCCTTAGCCTCGTTCAACCTCCGTGTGAAGTATAGTTAACTTTACTAAGAAGTCACAAATTATTTCTTTTTTTAGACGCTTGTTAGTTGACGCGACTTTTATTTCCAGATCAGAGGGATCGAACAATGACAAATTTTGGGGAAAATAAGGAGGAATATATTCCACCTGTCCTACTGTTGGTTCCATTAAAGACACGAATCGTATCGTAGTATAATTACAAACGTCCGTCATCGTTTCTTATCGTTTGATATTATTAAAACTGCTCATAATATATAAAAAACTGACGGAATATAGGTGGGATCTCTGGGTGTCCGTCTGCGCCACAAAGGACTAAAGGAGGAGTTGCATGCGGAAGGCCGTTTTCAAGGCTATTTTTACGAACTTTTTTTAACAGAAATGGTAAAATCAATGGACTTGAAATTTTCACAGTGTATTCATTAATATGTTTAAAGTGTAAAATAAATTTTATTAAATCATAAGAACCGATCCAATTTGTAATTATAGATAAAAATGCAGTCATCCGTTTGCGAGCTCTATGCTTGCTGTCGACATAATTCCGCGCCTCTCACTACTCTGAAACCAAAAAGAGAAAGATTTTTTAAATATACGGTTGCCATTATAGCCCGTACCATAACGAAGGCAGTAAAGCCAAGTTTGGAAAAATAATGACTGTACAAAAAAAAGTATCGAAAATGAAACCTTTTTTCAACTTGTAATCATGTTGAAAAAAAATGATTAAAATAAAATATAACTGTGATTCGAGGTAGGGGCGAAAACTACAGGTCTACTATATATTGTGTAAAAATTTCAAGTTATTCGGTTCGGTAGTTTTTGCGTAATCGTGTCGACAGTTTAAGAAAATGGCGTTTCCGGATAAACACGTTTAAAGTTTTATGTATATTTTCCATATAGACAGTAACAAATTTACTTTATATTTTGAACATTAATGAAAATTTCAAATCCATTGATTCTACCGTTTCTGTTAAAAAAATTCGTAAAAATAACCTTGAGAACGACCTGCTCCGCATGTGTAACTCCCCCCTTAAAGACAGCTGTCGAATTAGAAAAATACCCGCTTCGACTACGCGGCGCTGTTGATCAAAAAATTCTACCGATACAACGGCATACTTTCTCTCTCTCTCTCTCTCTCTCTCTCTCCCCCCCCCCTCTCCCTCTCCGTCTATAGAGAACAGAGCTGGAATTTCCGCCAGAGATGCGGAAAATCGCGTGCGCGCCTCCGTGCGAACCGTCAGGTTCGGCTGCGAAGAATTCGCTTTCCAAAATCCGCGTCCCGTCGTAAGCCGAGCGAAATGAATGGAGAAGTCGCTTCCTACTCGAAAGCGCTTCCTCGACGTGCATCAGCGAGCGACCTGCCTTAATGCAACGCGCATACGTAATGGCGATCAGTGCACACATGCCGGGGTACAATGACTCGGTAAACGGCGGACTTGCACGCAACCGGTGCGCGCGTGTGTGCGTGTGTGTGCATGTGCCTCCGCGAAAGTACGCGGTCACGTGACGTGCAGTGTGCGTACGTGCATGCGTCGAGGGAAAAAAATACCTGCAGCAGGAGAGTGCGAGTATTTACGGTACGACGGGCGATAAAAGCGGCGCCGATAAGAATCACGGAAAGTCTCGAATTCGCAAGGGGAGCCGCTCGCGGGCGGAATATTTCGAGCGGGAATGAACCCGTTGTGTGTTCTCCATGAAAATATCCGATTGCACACTCACAGTGGCGCGATTCCGCGATTTGTCCTTTCGCGATGATGCGATACCGTATCGTCGCGGCGTTTGCGGTATTATCCGCCAATTACGCGGAGGGTAATACGTTGCGACGTTGCACGTCGCAACGTTATCGTTATCCGCGATATGTGCCGCCTTTGGAAAACCCAATCTACGCTTTCGTATCTCGCGTTTCGGCGAAAGCGGATATCGCATCGCGCTTTAACACGCCCGGCCGCGGAATAATCGTAACTCGTTACGCGGAATAATCGTAATCGGGTACTCGCGATTACTGTTATCATCGGCGTCGTTATCAGCGGGAGGCGGGAAGAATATGTCCACGTGAATTAATTGCGTGCACGCCAATGGCGCGAAGGAGCCGCGTTTTCGCGTTTCAACAATCGCGACGGCGACGATATGTGGGCTGCTGCAGCATTGTGCCCCGTTCGCGTCCGCCTCCGTATGTTTGCCGGCTACACGCTCGCAAGCTTCGTCAGAACGAACGACTCCGCTCGCGTATGAGCGAGCGTGGCCCGCCAAGCGAAGCCACGCTTGAAAATAACGCGTTTACCACACGCGCGCGAGCGTTCAGGGGAGACTCGCCCCGACTCGCGTATCGATTTTCCGGTCCCCGCGTAGGACCTCGCGGACTCGTTAGATCACTTTCGCTTAGGAATGAGCGATGATTGGGGATGAACGAGGAATTGTCGTCTAGATAATAAATTATATAATAAAAAAGGAAACATCGACTCCTCTGGCGATTAAAATCGTGTTTCGGAAATATAGGAAATATAATCGATCGGTTCTTAATTTCTTCATAACTATTATTAGCAGTATTTAACGACACTTACGTATCTAATCATTGAAAAAGGGAGAGAAGAAGAAATGCGTGTGTCTTCAGATTTGTCTTAAAGTCGTACAAATTGAAAATGATAGACCTCTGTTATGTCGAGTCGGACTCTATTCGAGAGTACGATCGTCTAACTTGTTGTTGAATCGTTAATTGGACTAAAAAAATCTATGAAGGCCGATTCCGAAACCGGTTAGAAAAGAGGAAAAAGTAGTAATTAACGCCCTACGCCTGGCGTCATCGAGCGGTATAATGAAGAAAGCTCGCCCGACTCGCCAACGGTTCGTGTCTCGGCTAAGCGAGTTTAAGTCTCGGCTAACTGGCGACTCGCGTCTCGTCCGAGCGTTGACCCGTTAACTTTTATCAGTCGTAAAAGCGTTCTGCGCTACTACTCGTGAAAAGAGCGATAAATTTCAAAATATTGAATTAAGAAACGCCGACGACTCCTGTCAACAAGTCAGATTAGAAAATATCGAAAAGCTGACCGATCCTCTAGGAGAGAAAATTAAAGGGAAAGATAAAATACCAATTTATTTGCCGCCTATCTTTGATTCGTCGCATCGGGTAATCGCATAATTGTCGCTGCCCGTAGACGAGCATGATAACTTGACTCCGACGGTAACTTGCCGCGTCGCCGAATCCCTCTTGCGAGCAGTCGTGAAGCACGCAAAGTCGGAGCCGCTACGTTAGCAATCGCTGATGTGTGGTCGATGCCGCTCGCTTACCGTGGACGAGTAACGAAGACCCGCCGAGTTAGAAAAGGAAAATACAAGTTTATTTCCGCGAAGATATTCACATTGACAATTATCGACAAAATATGCAATGTTACACGATCACAGTTTTTTAATAGCCTTTCGCAATAGCAAACGCGCAGACGTTCTTGTCAGACGGTTTATCAAAGAAAGCGACGTCCGTCACGAACTAGTTTGTAAAACCGTTTCCTGTGTCCCCGTCGCTTGACACTCCAGCGCCTTCTGCGCCTCCCGTTGCTTCTTCTTCAGCACTCTCTTGTGCTTCGAGCCTTTCATGTGTAGGTCCCATTGAGTCTTGAACACAAACACCCTCTCGCACACCTGAAGCGATCGCAGGAAGAAGTAAATAATGGATAACAATACATGTGTGAGCAATTAATGACTTTCCTGCACGATAATTATGAGAGAAGAAACACGGCGCCCTGGCGGGGGGAGGTAGATTGCCGATCGCTTCTCCGACTCACCTCGCAATAATTGTACTCCATTTTGTTGTAATCGCTGTACTTTTGGTCCTCGATATCTTCGCTCAGCAGCGGCCGCTGCTCGGGCTTCTCGCCGCGCATTATTGCGGAAATGATCGCCACCGACGGCTCCAAGATGCAGCTGTTCCAGTTGCTCACGTCGGTGCAGTCTAGAGGATAAACAACGGGGACCTCGAAAAGAGGAGAGCGACGTGTGATTTATAATCCGTTCAATTTTCTTGCACCTACGATGCTACGGCGCGTGGAAAATGTACCGTGAAGGCGAGCTGCGAGTTATATCACAACCTTCGAAAGGCGCGTGATCTATCGTCTGTGCGATGCGAGGCGAGCTAAATGAATTACCTGTCGGTCGTCGCGGCGAATCAGCCGGTTCATCACCCACTGGTCTTGCTTCTTCGCGTACCTCCTGGTGACGAGTTTCAGGTCCTCGATCCCTTGTTTCAGCAGTTTCTCGCCCTGTGTGGGAGAAGTCACTTAGGTATCTACAATTTTTGCAACAATGTCGCAAAATATCTCCGACGCGTCCGAAATATCACACAAAAATTGCTCGCGCTCGCGGGATCGGATCGGGGGGGATTCTCGCCGAGAATTACTCCGTCTTCGTAGCCGTCGATCGGCTCCCGCGACCGAGGAGCGTGAAAAAGCCGTCAAGAGGGAACGGGAAGGAGAGTTTCGCGCAACCGGCGGCGGGCGCAAAAAGCGCGAGCGCGGCGAGAGACGGTATAGGTGTGCAGATTCGTTTTCTACCGCTCAGGTTGGAAAGAGACAGGGATAGGGGCACTGTTGGAATAACGAGGACAGGAGCGCTGGCGCAAGTTGGCGCAGCCGTTGGAACGACAGAGAAAAGACCTTAGGCGAGTCGCGTTTCAGCGGGAATCCCCGGCCGAGGAGCAGCGGCAGGAGCAGCAGGAGCAGCTGCCGCGGCTCCTTCCCCGGGAACACGCTAATCGTATCGGCGCGAGCCATCTCCTCGCCGCCGCCGCCGCCGCTTTACCTTCTCGCTCGCGCGCTCCTCCTCGGGCAACGTGAGGTAAGCGTGAAACTCCTTGAAGCCGATGCTCTGGAAGATGCCTTTCGTGTAATCGGGCGACCTGCAATGTAAACATATTCTCTCTTGAGTCTCTCTTGCTTTCGGCATTCTCTCCCACCCCCCCCCCTCTTCTTCCGCCTTGGAGCAACCACCCCTGCGCCTTGCACGTTTAATGCTAATGATGAATTAACGCCGAGATCGCGACCCGCGAGACCGCCTGCGCTGCACCTGGCGAACGTGTGTGAGTGTGTGTGTGTGTGTGTGTGTGTGTGTGGCTGTGCGTCTTCTGTGTGCGCGAGCAGTCTGGCGAATTGCGAATGCGCGGTCCTTTTGTCGCGAGCCTTAAAACGCGGCCGGCCTTTTACGCTCCCCGGTCGAGCCCGAGATCTGTTTAACGAGGATGTTTACGAGAATGAATGAAGGAGAGGGAAGAGCAGGAGGGGCGGGCAAGAAGTAGGCACGGAGAGACGGATCGAGTCGAGATGTTGCCTCCGCTTTCGACCTGAACCGTTGAACGTCTGCGAGTCTCGGAGGATCAGTGGGGATTTAATTTGTACGGAGACTAAAGTGCTGCTCAGCGCCTCCGAATGGCGGCAAGTGCACTTGATTTTGTCGTTTGTAGGCTCTCGAGAAGCCTCGCCGGCAAAGCTCAGGTCAAACACGACGGGAAGGGGGGAGAGATCGACGCACAGGCTTGGGGCTTATTGAGTTAGCGAGAGTCCAAAGTGCGTGTCCCGGGACTTGGAACGTGCTGGGCCGAAATCAGCGGCTCGCGGGAGTATCGGCGAGGTAAAAATATATCGCGCGAATGACGTTACATAAGATGGGGACTTTAAGCTTCTTAGAATGTCGATAGCGTGATTGCGCAACGGACATGGCGCGTGAGAAGCGAGGAAGTGCCGAGATAAGGCCGATCATTATTTTTATTTGCGGACACGGTCGCGCTGCAACTATGCGTGGCGCGATCGCACGATGGTCGCCCCGAGTGACGGCCCGCTTGCAAATTCGACGGTTCGTCATTATCTGCCAGATAAGCCGTCGATACGCGAAAGCAGCACGAATGAAGCGAGTTACATATTCGCGCGAATCGGCAAGTTCGCGTGATCGCTTCGCGGTCTTTTGCTCTTCTCCTTCTTTCGAACTCTTGCTCGCCGGGCCCCAAGAGGACGCTGAATAACGCAGCTTTCTTACAATTAGTACTATTTCTTATCTAATTTTCCTTTATTTTTATAACTAGTACAATTTCTTATCTAATTTTCTTGTCTAATTGTGTAGAACTGCAAATGCTCTTACAGAGCGAAGGTACGAACGACGATGAACTGAACCGCACGGGAAATATTCAATTACGTGTAGCAATTAAACATAAAAAAAATTGCTCGCTATTGAAATTTCATCAAGATCGAACTAAAGAGTGCTTCGTCGATGAAAATTGAAAAGAAAAGTTTTCTTACAAAATATCTTTTCATCCTTGATACGACATACGGAGTACTTTTCGATTCGTCGACATTTGCATGTCTGCTCCGTGAAAGCGTTTGCAATTCCAACTAGGAAAACTGTATTACGCGTAATGAATTAGTCAACAGCCTCTTGAGATCTCGTTCGGCACGTGCCCCCTTCCCTCCTCCCCCCATTCCCGGTTCGATTAACTTCAGCGATGAGTGATTCTCATTCTACCCGAGCGCCAAGATGCACCAATTCCGAGAGAGAGAGAGAGAGAGAGACAGAAACAGAGAATAATCAATTTCTCGCCATTCATTCGAGCGACAAAGTCCTTATCAAGAGTTCGACGTGTCTGCCGATCGCCGTCGTTTGACGAGAATCGCCGGCGTCGCGGTTGACACTCGACACTCCACGGCGAGCGGAGATTCCGGACGTTTCGTTAATAAGCGTTTTGGCGAATTTCACGCCCGCTGGTGTCGGCGAGTCGTCGGTCAGATCGCCGATCACGAGGAAGATCGCGAGCGATTCACGATCACGATCGACAGATACGACGGAGACGGGCGTGCGTCTCGCGCGCGTGCGATCAGCGTCTCTCGGTAGCTTGACGTAACGACTGACTCGCGCGCGCCGGCAAGGAAAAGAACGTTATCGCGAATACTATTGGCTCGATTGTCGCGCGCGCGCGCGCGCGTCAATGTCAGCGCATTGACGAGCTGGCGCCGTGCATGCGATTCGGACGGATGTGGCGAGTAGCGCGTACGCGATTTTTTCGGCTTCCGCGACTTCGCCGCGAAGCTGAGTTCCACCGACGTCACACCGCGAGAAAAAGACGGCTGAGAAGAAAAACAACATCCGCTCGATGGGTGTTAATAACATGTTTACTCGAAGCTAAATTCGAGTGTTTCCAAGGAGCAACACGGTTCTACGATACGGTTCTGTAAGAAAATGTTGATTTCCGCATTTGGGAGAGAAAAGATTTCGGAAATGGGACAACGATGATGACTGACGCTCTCGACTGACCCAGGTCGGCCCTCGCGAAAGAATCAAATACGCGGGATACTTTTAATTGCACGACGGAGAGACGATCAGATACGAGAAATTGTTATCGATACTGAAGATTGAATTTAAGTTAATAAAGTAATAAAGTAATTTATCCGATACTTTGAGATTGAATTTAAGTAAATACATCACACGGGAGACGCCGACTGCTCAAATCCCCGGCGCGCTCTCTCGTGTGTCTCCTCTCTCTCTCTCTCTCTCTCTCTCTCTCTCTCTCTCTCTCTCTCTCTCTCTCTCTCTCTCTCTCTCTCTCTCTCTCTCTCTCTCTCTCTCTCTCTCATAGCATTCTCTCTCGCGCGCGTCCCGCGCGCTTCATCGTCGAGGCCAAATATTTGCTTTGCAACAAGCAATTTCCAAATACACGTGCGCGGATACGAAGAAAGCGGCGGACCGCCAGCCCCGCCGGGCGAGTAACGAGACTCGCTCTCTTACTCTTGAGCAACTCGCGGGCATTTTTTATCCCGGGGAGAGGGGGGGGGGGGAGTCGAACATGATAATGATAATAATATAAAGCACTGATGTAGCACTGAGTAGTTAACGCGATGATAGTTAACAGAAGCACAGAAGGAATGCCGAGCCGCGAACTGGTAGCGGCAACGAGATAGCGCTCGCGCGCCACTAACACAGTATTAGAGCTTGTAATTAAGATAACGACAGAGTGTCAGCAATAGGCGTGTCGCATGGCGCGCGCGCGAATACGTAACTATTCTAAAATATTTTTACAACTTGTTGCCAAGCGCGCACTGCCGCCCGTATACGCGCATGCATTGCGTCGCGCGACGTTACGTTTTCTCTACCGCCGTGAGAAAGAAAGAGAGAAAGAGAGGGCGGAGGAGATAATCGGAGCACTATAGCCAGGATTTATGGTCTTTGCGTAACAGTGGCGCGCTCTCTTTTCCGCCAAAATTTCTCTGTGCCTCCTCCGTGTTTTCCCTTTCCGTCTTTTTCCCTTAGTCGACATTTGCCGGGAGAACAGGGACGAATGCAAATTCGATAAACTCGTTATATAACGCTGCGGAAAAGGAGGAAAACGGCAAATACGTCTGACGTCTGTTTAATGTCGCGCTAATCGCCTGTCGATGGGTTATTTCCGTTGATTTATCCAACGAGTAATCCGCCGAGCAGTAAAAAAGATCCTCGTCGGCTGGATCGAGAAGTCGTGAGATATTTTCAGCACGCGATATTTTCTGATATCCCGGAGACTTTCGTGTATCTTCCCCGATATGAATACGAGCGTTCGAAATATTGGCCTCTTTCTCAACCTGAGCTGTCTAACATTTATAGATGCTGATGGAGGTTTCATTTGCACGGAAAATGAAGTCTTTCCGTGCAGCCGCCCGAATGAAAATAGCTTGACACGGACTTCAGGGTACAAAATCGGCGTGTCACGGGATCGAAGTCTCCTCTCGCGTTCGGGCGGATTCTCACGCTCGCGAAGATCATCGCTCCGCGCGAATCTCTCGCAAGCGGCTGCTCGAAATCTTTTCCCTTTCGCGTAACTGCGTAACTGCGCGCACGCGTCTTCGATAATCTCGCCAATCTTTCGATCGAAGGTCGATCAATCTGCATCGATACGTCGACGACGCGGGCGGCGGCGGCGGCGGCGGCTCGCCGGTCACCGTCCCGATAATAGGATTATGTATGCTACAGTGCGCACGATTGCGCCGCTAATGGCGTCGTTGCAGCTTAACAGAGCGTAATACAATGGCACCGTATTACTTTCTGACGCGCAACTGTCGCCCGCGCCCGTCCGCGTCGCGACTCCGCGCGATTGAGCGAGCGAGCGATCTTCTCCGCGCGCGCGCCTTCTCTCTTATCAGCGTTTCGCAAAATTACCGCGAATTACCGCGCAGATCCGCGACAGAGAGAGATCGCACGCTCTGATCTTTGATCACCACGCTCTCGAGCCTTATCGGCCCAGCGTATCTCTCGCGCGCTCATGTGAGCGCGAGCACAAATTGCGCGCCTCCGCGCGGCGAATTTACCGACGCCGTTGCAGCGTTACGCACGTTGCGCGATCGGCTCTCCTCCTCTCTCTCTCTCTCTCTCTCTCTCTCTCTCTCTCTCTCTCTCTCTCTCTCTCTCTCTCTCTCTCTCTCTCTCTCTCTCTCTCCCCCTCCCGTCTTCTCTGCGTAGGAAATTGTAGATACGAGCTTTCCGCGGAGATATCGAGAAGCGGAGGGAGGAACACTACGTGTGCCCTCCTTTCCGCCCGCCCGCCCGTCTCGTTCGCTCGCTTTAGCGAGCGGATTTTTCACGATTTATTGACACAATAACGACGGCGAAACGATCGTCGCGAGCGATAGCCGTGTCGTCGTCTGTCGACGGTGCATCACGAAAAAGCCACGTGCCATTTTTATCACTAGTGTATTGTTATCTGCGCTCTCGAGGCGGCAACACAATGTCGGCAGACGAGTCAGACGTTGAATTTCGTCGCGTGTATAGGCATCGACGTGCGGATTTCGACATAATCGGTCGGAGAGCGCGGCCGAGCGCGATGGAATTAAGGGGACCGCGGGCTCAGATACTGAAAACTTGTGCTTGTTTTTGATAACATTTTGT